AGTTGTTCGGGTTTTTTCATCTAAAAAAATGAAATTAATTTCTTGACGACCTAATATTAGAACTAAAACTAGAACATTTTGTAAGTCTCAAATGTGAAGAATTATTTTTGGTCACTTTATTATATATATATAATGTATATTGGACAATAAAGTTAGTTAGAAAAACTTTTACCCTCAAGATGAGAAATCAGTTTTTGTACAAGTGCCATTGAAGCTGAAATAGCAAAACATATGTTAAAATTTTAAAAAATCAAGTTTTATGAAGTGTAAGGTTAATTTTTTCTAATTTTAGTGTGAAAAATGTGTACATCCTTCCAGCATGCTCAATACCTTTCTGAAAAACAACAGCAGTTGTAGTATATTGGTTAAAAAAAAAATATATAATCTATGCAAAGAGCATGAAACTTTGTAGCACAATGATATAGAAGGTCAGAAAATGCAAAAAAAATAATTAAAAATAAATATATATATACATATATATTAGTTACCAACAATGCATAATATGTGATTTTTATTTCTAGTTAAGGTATTCAATATGAAAAGTGTGTGTCTTTGATTTGATGTACATGCTTTGTGAGTGTAACATAACTGCAGCTTTTACAAAAATGCCAATACCAAAACGGTTCCTTTGAGGTAACCGAAATTACATAAATTCTTTCCTCAACTGTGATTATTTACAGTGCTTTTATATATCTAACAGCATTGGAGAATGTTACACATCCTCACTGTCTCAATACCATTTACTGAACACCTTTCTACTATACTAATATCATGTGTCAAAATATGCAGTCTCTTTTGTGTGTAAAGTATTAATCTAAGTTCATGGTTTTAATCTGAAATTTGACTCTTGTGAAAATATAAAATTTGATCTGTTGTGTAAATACAAGAGTCAACATAAAAATTTACATATCATCAATATATGGATACTTCTCTTTGTGAGCAAGTACTCCAAATGAAGTGACCCCAAACAAGAATACACAAGAATAGCTGAAATTAAACCTATTTATATTAGCCTAAATCCAAAGATATTTTCAATGTATACATATAAATCTTTCAAACTAATATTGTTACAGTAACATTTTGTATGGCTAAAATTATGTGTAACTTACTTTGAGAGATTTTCACAACTTTTTGTTTCTTATTGCTGGTGCAAGTTTTTCAGATGAAGTTCTCAAAAATGCTACATCTCACCTTATCTATGAATAATTTGTGAAGTTCAGCCTGCAATTTGTGAAATTCTTCTCCTGCTGTCTCATTTAACAGAGTTTGCTGCATCTGCTCTTGGGTTTCTTTAAGCTGTTCTTCCAACAGGATTACTTTTTCTTTAAATCCATCCTCATGATGATAAATCTCCAAATAATTCTTTTCCAGCAGTTCATTCTTAATGGACAAAAATAAATAGATGAAGATCAAAAGATATTTTCTTTTGTTTTTGTTTGAGCTAGGATAATACTGTGATTAAAAATAAATAAATATATATATATATATTAATTTCCATAATATGATTTTTTTATTTCTAGTTAAAATATTCAATATGAAAAGTGTGTGCGTTTGATTCGATGTACATGCTTTGTGAGTGTAATATAACTGCAGCTTTTATAAATAATAATACTCCTTAAAAGTTTAACAATACATCCTTGTACATTGAACACAGTTAATTATTATTTATTTAATATAAAAAACAAAAGCATTTCAACATAATCTTTAGTTGTTTTACTTTTTCAGTCCAAATCATTACAAAGCAGATATTTATCAATATCAATGAAATTTTAAGCTGAGACCTAAAGATCAATGAAGGTATTCTAGCATAAAATGTGACATAAACATGTCTTAACTTGTTATAAAAGTCTTTATACCATATTAACCTATATGCACATTCCTATGCTTCACTTCTGTCTATGATTTATGCAAAGTAGGCCTGTAAAAAGGAACCAGATAAATGTTTGCAAGCATCACAGTGAGCCACTGTATAAAATCATTTTTTTTCTAAACGATCCTTTTTCTAAAAAAAAAAAGATTAAATTGTGGTTTCACAAATGAAAATATATAGTTAAATATATAAATGATTTATATCTGGCAAATAATAAATGTGAATTTCTGTATTCACCTGAAAAATTTCCATGAAAAAATTCACTACTTCATAACAGACATTTTAACAAGCGAGTTCTAATAATGAAGTATAAATTATTCCCACACATCAGAAATGCTGCAAAATTATATATATCCACAGATCTTTATTTGATACTTATGGTAATATCATGAATACAGTTTCAAAATTTGTGCAGAAATGTTTCTGTTTAAAAATGTAGATTCAACTTCAAATTAACAGGTCTTTTTGGTCTGTTTTGAGTAAAAATAAAGAAGGTATGGATGAGAACAAAAATAAAGGTTTTTTATAGGTTTTAAAGGCTTCACTGGAAGGCATGTGTTTGTATTATCACTATACAATATTTATTACTTATCTGATTAGCTTTTGAATCAGAAATTAAATTTATTATTAGATATACAAAACTGTTTAGTTTAAGAGTTATTGTTTAGTCTATTTAATGATTTAATATTTAATGATTACTTATTTTTCATAACAAGAGTGTTAAAGTTAATTATTTTAAAAGCAATAGTTATGACAAGTTTCATTAAGTAACTCTGTATGAGTCATATATTGTGTATGTTGTTTGATTGTTGTACTAGGCTTTTGTAATATTGTTGACATCATTTTACTCAAAGCTTCTAAATCTTTTTTGTTATGTGAATATTGTTGTGATTAGAGGGCTAAATATTTCCAGATTTTTCTGTCTGTGCTACAAATACATGCAGGTACAGAGAGGAAGGAAGGAAACTAGTGAAAAGAAGTTAGTGAATGTGAAAGAAAAAGTGTGTGAGTTTTGCTGTAACAGGCAATTTCTAAACTGAGTTTCACAGTTTGTATTGTAATAACAGAGATAGAGGAGAATAATTTGTCTTGTCAAAGGGTGTTCTAAATTAATTGAACTTGTCTGTATGGACTTTGACAAAAAGGAGACAATTATTTAAAACTCTAGATACAACTGTGGTAACCAACAGTTATAGTGGTAATTTTGAAGCGAGTTTCACAGCTTGTATTGTAACAACACAGATAGAGAAGAATATTTCATTTTGTCAATTGGGTACTAAAGTAATTGAACCATCCTGTGTGGACTTTTGATGTAAAAGATAATTATTTAAAGCTCTATATACAACTGTGGTAACCCACAGGGTAAAGTAAGTGAATTTGTCACTAATTATATTGCGATAACAGAGTAGAGGAGAATAATTTTTCTTGTCAAAGGGTGTTCTAAATTAATTGAACTTACCAGTGTGGACTTTGATGAAAAATAGACAATTATTTAAAGTTCTGGATACAACTGTGATAATCAATAATGTAAAAAAAAATTTTTTACATATGTTTGACTTATTTTGAATATATATATATATTATTTTAAAACAAGTGGATTGTGTGCTGTCCATTTATTGTTGACATTTATTGCCAACAAGTCACAGACACCTACTATAAAGAATCCAGCCCTATACAAAAAACCTGACATTTATCAAAATATTTAGATATGAATTATAAATCAATTATTTAACAAATATACATGATAAAAGTGGATATCTATTTGACTTGAATAATTTTACTTACACACAGAAAGGTGTAATTTAATGTCTCAATGGTAGCACATGTACATATACTAGGGATCCAAGGTATTCAAAGTGTGTATACATGCATACATTGATAAAAGTGAAACAAGTTATTGTTACATAATGTTAGATATTGGTCCTACGCTTTAATAAGTACATCAGCTTGGATGTGTATGTATGTTTAAGGAATGATCTACTGTGTGATGCCTTCATAAATGCAAATATATGGTGTTATATTTTCATTTTGATTCTTCTTCCTATAGCAATGTCAGTTAATTTTTTGTGCTGGAAATAACAATATATAGATGTACAAAGTTTTCTTTTTCCAGGGGGAGAGGGAAGGTGTAACTGATAAGTGAAAAGTTATCAAACCTACATATTATATATTTTACTAGTGGGAGGCCTACACACTCAGTGCCTATAACCAAGTCCACAAAACTGTTGTCAGATTTCATTTTTCTATATTATTAAGTTATGTGTAGCATGGATTTGGTAAACTTATTGTTCATTTAAATTTTTTTGAAATAAAATCATAAGTTTAAAAAAAATGCAATCACAGAATTTTGACAATCAAATAAATAAGGAATAAACAGTTCAATTAATAGTGCCATGTGTTAGTTAATTTTAACACACCCCTTAGGAGCCAAAAGGTGACTGTACACTACAATTTGTTGAATATTAAAAGTAAGTTCATTCTGGAAACTCCCAAATAGGGTGGTTTTGGATGTATCTTTTTGAGACAAGTCTTCGTTTGTTAAATGATGAATTTTTAAGTGAAATACAGCATAATCAAGTCTCCATACTAGCTAGTACAAAGATCTACCCACTCACCGGGAGTATATTCAATGTATATCAATAAAGCCACATTCTCAGCATCATTAATTAGGCAATTGCCAACCTTTTATGCTTCTGCTATCA